TTGTGAGAATTATAGGAAAAATACTTAAAGCTTTAGAATTTATTTTAACTGTCTAAATATATGGTTTCATGCTCATTAACCTTTCTTCATGGATTACATATTTAGATGGGAGAACATAGAAAGAAAATAAAACGTAGAATTTTGTAACTGTCTTAATTTCGACTATGCTCCCAAGTTCCTTTCTTCTTTTTGACTGCCCTCATTGGTCAATTTACAATATGCTTCTTTTATATGGAAATTTTCTTTACTTTATTGGACATTTTTTTAGTATAGGTCAGATGGCGTTTTCTTAACTAGACTACGTAATATATAGAAGGAAACTGCTGTATTAAATTCCACTTAGCATATTAAAAGTTTTTAGAAAGGAAACTTGGTTTTCCCTTAATGCGTAATTCAGTCAAACCTGAAATGAAACAAATTATAAGTACATTTCCTCAATTTCTTCCCATGTGTCATCTTCAAGTCAGCTAATATGTTTTTACTGGGCATAAATATAGCATTTTTGTTCCTATCTTGATATTTTAATACCAATAAATCTTGGAAATAATTCAATTGCTAGCAAATCCTTGGTCCTCTTCATCCTCTATTGTCTTTGTTACCCCTAATTTGGTCTTATTTCTGCACATGCATTGTTGACTGAAGCATGTTACCCCTCCTTATAAATGCATGCATGAATGGACACTAACAACATTGACTTTTTTGGAAGAACTATAATCAGATATAAAGCCTGGTTCGGTTTGTTGACGAAATGAAGCATTCATTTTTTAATATAATATACTGGCAACATCAGGCCATTAAAAATCAAGGCAAACCCTTTTAGTCAAGATCCCTGTTTAACTTTCACCTTCCAAATGATCAAAACCACTCATCTTTCCAAGCTTTCATAAAAAACAACAGACCTACCATAGTAACAGTAGGTTAATCTGCTGTTGAATTCAACACTTCATTCATTCTAATTAAGGGATCTCATACTTGGAAAAAATGGTTTGCTATTGAAAGTTTTCAGTAACCCTAATGGATGATATTACATAGTGCTAATTTATCAAGTAACTACAGATTAATATCTTACTAACCTGTGTGTCAAAGCCATCCGGTAACTTGAAAATAAAAGAATGGGCATTAGCAACTCTAGCAGCCTCTTCGATCTCAACTTGGTCTGCATCAGGCCGGCCCAAGAGTATGTTCTCTTTAATGGTGGTGGCAAATAGAGCAGGTTCTTGGCTTACAAGCCCTATTTGCTGCCTTAACCATCTCAGTTTCAGTGTCTTTATGTCATGCCCATCTAGCAGCACTTGTCCTATACAAGATCATGATAATTCTCAACAAATTAAATCAACCTAGAAGCAGAATTAACTCAAATGAAAACTATTTATCAACTTTGTTTTGATGAAAATTTATTTTCATTTTACCTGAGGAGGGATCATAGAATCTCTCGATGAGGGAAACCACAGTGCTCTTACCAGAGCCGCTGCTTCCAACCAAAGCTATGGTTTTTCCGGCAGGAACAGTAAGTGAAAAATTATTGAGGATTCGAATATCTGGCCTCGAAGGATATGAGAAATCGACATTTTTCAGCTCAACTAGTCCTGAAACTGACTCTAATTGCAAACCCGAATCACTATTTCGATCAATTGCCGGTTTGTGGTCTATTATACGGAAAATTTTAGCTGCTGCAACTTTTGCCTTGGCAAATGCGGACATGCTTGGAGCAGACTGTCCCAAAGCCCTGAAAATTGAAGAGAATGGTGAGCAAAAGAATGCCTCTATAGTAACCTATATAATAGAGCATTTGCAGGGTAGTACTACTACTTACAATCCACCTATCATAACTGCAAACATGGTAGCTATGGCGAGTCCTCCATTGGTGAAGTGGTGCCTAACAAGGTAACCACCATACCAGAGAAGGAGAGCATAGCAACAGAAAACAACAAAGTAAGTTGCACCTAGTCCCATTCCCTTTGCAAATCCAGTCTTGTAGCCGATCCTTTGTGCTATCCTCAATGCCGATGAGTAGGCTTGTAATGCTCTTGATTCGCCAACAAATGCGAAAACAACACGAATTTGCACTATAGTCTGCAATTAAGCTTGAATTCAGCCATACCCAGATGCCAAAAGAATTTCTTTTAAAGAAAAATACAGCTGAAAGCATAGAAATCTTTTGTCTTTACCTGTTCAACAATATTTCCTGCTTGGGAAAGAGCATCTTGGGTCTTGGCAGAGAGCTTAGCTAATGTGGTGGTGTGAATCCCTCCAATCACGGCTATAAGAGGAACCACTGCAAGTGTTACCAGAGCTAATTGCCAAACAGCAGTAAAACCCACTATAAATCCAGATACAAACGTTGCCATATAGTGAATGAAATTGCCCAGCTGCCAGAAAGGAGCAGAAAGAGGAAAAGGGCAAATTTAGTAACCAAACCAGAAAAGACGAAAATAAAAGAAATCTTTTTTTTAATTTCTTTAAAGCTTTACTTTCTCACTAATGGCGTCCTGGACCATTACTGCATCAGTGTTAATGGCAAATACGACGTCGGAGGTTCGCACCTCGGTGTCAAAATACTGAATGTCCTGATTCAAGGCTGCTTCTAGGTACTTGATCCTCATCTTAGTGGATTGTCTCTCTCCAGTCCACATCCAACAAGATATCTCTGCACCCAACTCAATTTACATTAATAAATAACCAGAAACCCAGGTGATTAAGAACAGAGCTGATTTTAGAAACCGTACCAGCCCATGAAGATGCCCATATTGCAGCACCCACAACAAGAAAGTAGAGTGCGTACTGCAAAATCACAAGCACAGAGTTTTGATTTTATAGTCATGAGTTTGATTGACAGCGAAAATTTCAAAATTTCAGTACGTACCTTCAAAACTTCCTGCATCATCTTGTCGATATTGTTAGCATTAGAACCGAAAGAGTTGACGAGATCAGCGAAGAAACGAAGGAAAAGAGGCAGAGAACAGCCATGAACGAATGCTCCAACAGACCCAATTCCCATCAACACATAATCCAAACCATCTGCAAATCTGAAAAGCTCTCCAAACCCAATAGAGGGGACATCACCAGGCTTCTCCCTGCCACCATTATCCTTGTTGGGTTCAGAAGAAGAAGAAGAAGGATTATTATCCTCCATTTCTCTATCGTGATGAGGGGTCAATGGATGTTGAGGAGGAGTTGCTGTGTGGAGTGGTGTAGGTGGATTATTATTTGTATTGAAAGGGTGGAGAGGAGAAGCAGAGACGAGTTCAAGACCTTGCATTTCGGACCATCTCCATTGCTCAATCGTCTTTATCTCCTGAGAATCTTGCGACATTGGCAAAATTCCTAGCTTTATTCAACAAACAAACCACCCCCACCCCCACCTGACCTTCTCTCCTCTTTATTATCTCTCTCTCTCTCTCTCTCTCTCTCTCTCTCTCTCTCTCTCTCTCTCTCTCTCTCTCTCTCTCTCAATTTATCTTTCTATCTATCTACCTATCTGGCTTATGAGCTCATTTTTTCTTATTTTCTCTCTCTCTGCAGCTACTGTTTTTATCCCATGGTTCTTTGAAGTCAGTTTTTACTCTCATATCTCTGTTGGTTTACTAGAAGAAAGAAGGCAAACGACTATTAGCAGTAATTGGGTATTGCTTCTTCTGTAAAAAACACAGAAAATGACTCATAAGGAAATTTGCAGAGAAAAAGGGTTTCTTTTTATGTGTCACAGATAGAGAATAGAAGAAAGAGAAGCAACCCTGACACCGAAGACTGTGTGAATACTTAGAGATGGGTTTTTGACCAAAGCAGCTTCATCCATAAAAAACCAAATAAATTATTTTTTTCTTTCAATAATTTGTATATTTTAATTAATTGGTATTTTATACAGAGTTGTAAAAATGTGTATGCCGAGTAATTTGATTTCAACTCCAAAGTTTTTTGGCTTGTTGTGCAAGTTTAGTGTTTATATTCATTTCTCTGATCTATTCATTTTTCATCTCCTTCTTTCACGCTCTGTCTGTCTACTAGACATTGGCTGACCAGGTTTTACTTCTTCACACTCAAACCACACCAAACTCTGGATTTTATCTTTTTGTTTTTCCATTTCACTAATGTTTTTATGTTCTTCATTATTTAATTGGGAAGCCTTTTTGCTAATTAATGTTTTCCGTAACTATCAACTGTTTTTTTTTTTTAGTAATCTCCTTCCAGAGTTATTGTTTTCTGAAAGAAATCCTGCATTAATTGTATTAAATAATTTAACTGTATAATTAATTATTATTATTATTATTATTAGTTGCTAAATTATTTATATTAAAAAATTAGTTGATTTTTTTAATAATCAATAAATATTTAGTGCTAATCTTTCATGCATGTTAAATCCTAGCCACTTTCTAGATCTCTCAAATTTCTGGACTTTTTTTTTTCTTAATGAAAATACTCCCAACCAACATTAACATTTTCAATATTCAATTTCTTATATATATAAAAGTAGTTTTTGTTATTTAGATAAGTAAATTTTATGTATGTGATTAATTTTGAAATTTGTATTTCTTTTTATGTTAATTAGTCTAATTGGTTTTATGGTAAAATTTTTATTTCTCTTTTTAAAGCTCTTTTTATTTCAGTATGCAAACTTTTTCTAGATGTTATTATTTTTAAAATTTACATCTAATTTATTCACAGAACTGCACACAAACTAATTAAAAATGAAGAGAAGAATAGTAAAAATAATAATAAAATATAAAAAATTTTACAATATTATTTTTAATATTTTCTATAACACTAAGTTTTTATTCATATAGAAATACATCATTCTTACATAATTCTATGAATAAATATACGTATAAATATTTGTTAATAAGATATTAATAATGAAAATAGATATGTCATAATTAAAGTTTTAGTTACAAAACTAAATTTTTATATGTTGGTAAAACTTCCTAGTCAAGAGATGTTAATTACTTCTATGTTGGTGATAAATTTGGTAAGTTTAGTTGATAAAGATTGACAAAGAGACTATATGTGAGATGGAAATTATATTAAAAAGTAATTATGCATAAAGAAGTCACAATTGAAATTTTAGATTAAATAGATGTTATGGTGAAGATTCGTAGATTGCATTCAAGTTTTAATTATGAAATAAATATCATAATTAAATTGTGTATTATCTAAAGGTTACTTTATTATTTTTACTATATTTTTTCATATTCCATAAATATCACTAATCAGTCATATATGTAATAATTCAGGTTGGAATTACATATAAGAATTCTCATTTAATCTTTTTTTGGATAATGTTACTTTTTTTTTTTTAGTTTTGCTAGTAGACCGTCATATGTCAATCATGTTTATACAGTTTTGTTAATTAAGACAAATTCATATTCACTTTTTATTTTTTTTACACTTTTATTGTTTGTTTTTTTCTTTATCATATTACATAAAATTAAAACTTTTTTGTTCTTTTTTATGTATAATAAGACACGATGTTGTAAATTTTATTATTTAATAGCCACATAACTTCTAAGAGCTTGTAAGATTATAATTAATGTTGTATCTTAAGAGATTACAGAAAAAATAAAGTAATATTATAGCTAAATTTTCTCAATTGATTTTGACAGGTGAGTTAATTGAAATTTACATATGGAGTTAAATAATGATGGTGTTGCAAGATGGAGAGCGATTTTATCTAATACTTAGCTTTTATAGAGTAGAAGGATCGAGTTTATTCGTAATGAAGAGAAAAGCTTGTGATCATTAAGTTAGTACTTGACTTCCAAAATGTATATGATCAGAGTATCTAAAATCATGGTTTGAGATGGAGAGACCATAACACTAAGATTGGTCGGATAGTTCCTCCTATAAATTAATTTAAGTTCAACATGGATGAATTAGCTTATAGTGACCATAGTAATGTTATGGCAATGGACATATTGCAAATGATAATCTTGGTTGAGTGGCTAGTTTCATGTAACACATGGGGCCAATGGTTTGACGACTAAGATTTTGGGGCTTTAGAAGGCCTCAAACTTATTTTGAATAAAAGGATTAGAAAGCTTATCTTTAAAATTCATTACTTTTTTCTCTTGCAAACCTTCCACAAAAAGGACATATTCGATTTTTTCATCTTAAATTTTGAAATTTCGCTTAGTGTCTTGTTAAACAAAGACTGTAAATTTAAATTACCTATATTTTTTTTATGAAGTGAATAGATATGTTGATCATCTTTTAATTAGATGCACTATCTTTCTGAGGGTATTCTTTAGTTTATGCAAGCTCTTGAAGTCTTATAATTATTTTTAATTATATTTTTACTTGATTCGAATATGCATTCTCATTATATAATATTTTTTTCTTTTTAGTTTTTTTTTTAAATGTATATAATTTTTTAAATATTTATTAACATAAATGATGAAATTAATCATTTCTTAATTTTAAAAATAATAAATATAATTATAGTTATATTAATAATCAATAACTTCTGTTTAATTTATCTATTTATTGAAAAATATAAAGTGCCTAAACCATTTAATTATTTTAAAAAAAAAAATTATATTTAATTAACCAAGTAATAAAACTTGAATTACATATATACATTTTTAAATGATAAATAATTAGAATCTTTTTGCAAAGTTATTTGAATGACTTTATGAGACATCTTCTTCAAATCACTCAAACTAATACAAATGTTAAACTCCCATAAAATATTTATCAACCATTTATTTATATTGAATGATTCTCTAGACAATTTATATATTTTTATATTTATATTTATATTTATATATACATACATACATACATACATATAGATGGTTAAAAAGTGAAAATCTAAAGTTTATCCAATTTTTTTGTCACCTAAAACAACTACACATTTTTTTTTTTTTTTTTGTTTTTAAAAAAGAAAGTAGTAAAACAAAAATACCTTCTTTACACTTGCACTAAAATCACATCCAACAACAGCTAAGATCCCACTACTCTTTATAATCTGTAATCCTCTCCAAATTAATAAATAACAAACTACTATACTAATTGTCAGAAGCTCTTCAACAGATCTTGGGATTCTTTATATGACAGCAAATCAACATTTTCTTTTCCCTTTTTTTGTTTTTGTTTTTGTACATCAAATTAATCCATATATATATATACATACATACATATAATAATAATAGCCCTTTTATTTTATTTTATTTTTATTTTTTTGGGTTTTGAAAAATTAATTAAAGGGGAATTTTTAATAAAGCTGCTGACACTGTTAAATTCCCTGAAAAATTAATTATTAATATTTTTAATTAGAAAGTAAGAGAGAGAAAAAGGTTTGGTATTGATATCTTTCTCTCCTTTCACGCCTGGCCGTACAGTTTTATCTGCAATTCCCTCTTTGCAAGGCTCTGTTTTGTCTTGTGCCTTCCAACCCACGGGCACTTGTCCACTTCCACTCACCCACTTATTTTAAATAAACAAAATTCCATTTTTAAGTTATACAATTAAAATTTTGATTAGAAAAAAATTATTTTTTAGGTTTCTTTTCTGTTATTGGACTACCATTTTATTCTTATTGAGTCTTTAAAATTCATCTTAATTCACAGTTTTGTTATACATCAAGATCTATAATGTACAACATAGTTTTAAATATTATAATTGCAAAAATATTTTTAAATTAATGTGAATCATTTAAAATGAGGGTACGGGATTAAATTTTAGAATCTTATGTATTTTGATTAAATTTGATTTAGCTACATTTGAAATACTCATAATAATCGCTGTATTAATTAAATTAAAGTACTTATTGTTAATTACTTGTGTGCTGGTGTCAATATATCTATTGGAATTTTGAGGAGTCACTGTCTCGTACAATAATACTATTTTTACATTTAAAAAAAAAAAGGTTTTATTTTAATTTATTTAAACATAGAATACTTAAATTGGATTTATCAAAACAATACAAATTTTGACCTAATTAAATAATCTTAATTATTCACAGAAAATTCCTTGGGATGAATAAATAAACTTTAAGTCAGAAGAACCTCCTCGTACGTGATGCATAATATTTATTTTCAAAAAACAATATCCCTAACATGCTCTGCTTTTTTTTTAATGCTTCACGATTTTCGATTAATATTATTGCATTAAATAAAATGCTTCCCTTTCTTGAAAAAATTATTATTATTATTATTAAGAATTAACTTGATAACCCCAATTTAAGTCGTGTTATACAATATTTATCTTTAAAAAAATTTTAATATTATTATTATATAAATTAATGTAATTAATTTTTTAACCCACATCAAATTAGTTTTTTAAATAAATTATCTTGTTCCTCTGAATTAAGTGAGATGAGATTCACTTTGGGAATTGGTCAAAGTTTGTAAAGTTTGACCTTGTTTTATTTATGGGAAGATTCCTTAATTTTGAAGTTTAGAACTAGGAAAGGGGGACCAAAATATGAGGTCAATTTTTAATTTTCATTTTAGTTGTAAAATAAACAAAAAATATTAGATTTTTTTTTTTGAAAAACTAAAGTTATATATAAAAATATTTTTTATTTTTTATTTTATTTTTTAAAATATATATTATTTAATTATATATAATGTAACAATTCACTTTCTCTAGAAAGAAATGAACGCTAACTCATACATATAACCTGATAAATCTGTAAAGGTTCGGAACTTAAAAAGAAATAAAATCATAAATTAAATGCGAAAGCGAAATAATAGAGTTTAAGATTTACATTCCTTACACAATAATTTAAAATGTTCAATATGACTACGGAAATTTTCTTT